CGGGTAACTTAGGGAACATTTCATGGAAAGTTTTACGTGAGTTTCAAGTTTTATCTCGTCAGATATTGATAAAAAGTTGCCGGTAGAAAATGAATTGGGGAAATGAAAGATGGAACGGTATGGTAGAGTTATTAAGGTGTCTTCAGGAAGAAGGAATGGAAGATCGTTACGTAATAATATATACGAATCAGCGGAGTGGCCTGAGTTTATGTTTCGTTGACCTGGTGATTGTGCTTTATGCGAAAAATTGATAGACACTTTAAAAGAAGGCTGAAAGATATGATCAAAAGAGCCGTGGATGGTACAAGGAAAATAAGAAGAAGGTGAAGGAGTCGAGAAAGGAGGTAGACGATATGACAAAGGGGACAGGATACGTGTAGGTATATGAAAAGAATGGCAATGGATATAGAAGAGCGGAGACGGAAAACTAGAACCTGCATATAGCAAAAAACTAAAAGAATGGATTGTTCAATAACTCTCAAAATATATACTCAACAGGATCACAAGCTTGTAAATACATCCGCAAAATGCGTGTTTAATAAAGGGAGCAATGTGAAAAAACAAGGAAGGGGAAATGGATCAATATTGAAATACAGAAAGTTACTTTGCATGAACTCTAATGGCAAAATAATGAACTACACGAACGCAATCAATTAAACTACAACGAATTTACAGAGAAAACATGTACCGAAGGTATAAAGAGGCGGAATTGTTGAATTAAGCTGAAACAAGAAAGAAACCGTTGTAGAAATATAGTCATTAGAACCACTGACATCGGATAGAACGATGAAAAAGCAAGAGTCTGTATTTTATTCCTAAAATTTCCAATATACCCATGAATTAAGTATTGCAAAATTCGTAAACTAACCCTAACCTCTACGATAAGTCGTACGACGTCTGTAGGGCGCTTTAAAAGTTGTGGAAAAAGTGGCCTGAACTTGACAATTGAACAGGTATTGACGCTTCAATGAACCGAACCGTAATTTTCATAAATTTTGTTTATATTAAAATATATGTCACCGGTTTTTAAACGATTGCATGCCTTCTTTTTCACTATCACGCCAGAAAAACAAAAGAAAATGCGATTTTACCTTATATATGTTTTTTTGAGAGAACTATGCGGCAGTTTTGCTTTTGCGCTTAATTTGAAATGAAATTGGGTATTTTCAAAGTGCCGTAGTTCGATAACTAATTGATCTACAGATCTCCGCCTAAAGTGACTCACGTTTAATGCTCTTCAAAAACGGATATAGTGGCGTTCGTGGAAAAATGCGTAGTTTAAGAGCTATAGGGAAAAAACTCAAAAAAGTCGGAAATTTTCGCGGTTTTCTGTGTGCTGCGCTTTTCCCACCACTTTGAGAGTCTCAAACATGGGTATACTATACCCTATCCTAGTAAAATCCATACTGGGATTCTTATTTTAAGCCGTATTCGCATTTCGCAACACATATCATGATCATTTTCTAAATATGGACGTTTTCCAAAATCAAACAGTATCAGAAATGAGGATGGCCGCACAAAACTTCAAAACAAGCACAAAACAATTACATATGTTTTAAAGCATCCAGATAATAAGGACCTTTGTATCGGTGGTCCACCAAGGGAGAACTTTGAGTTTCTACGCAGCGAAAGGCACAAAAAATTGGCGCACAAATCGGCAGAAAATGAGCACAATATTTTGGAGATGTAAAAAATTGGGCTTTCGATTCAAGGGTGCTAACTTAATACACCTTTACTATTGAAGGAAACTGGAAGAGAAATTGAAGAACATTTTGATACTTTTAAAATGGGCGACATTTTTTGTTTTTTGAACTCTTTTGAGCCAGACAAGTTTCTTTTACCCAAAATCGTCCTGAAACCCTCATTTTCATGCCTACTGTCTATCAGGAAATTTTAGTTTCCATGACAGAGGCAGAGCAGACTACGTTTCCTGCCACTTGTCACTTTACTGGCCGCATTTTTTTCATTTCCAAATATCTATGACTGACAGATTGACATTAATCAAAACTTCTATAGAAAAATTGAAATTTTATGTTAAAAGACGATTTCGGGTAAAATTTAATACAAAACTCGTCAGTAAAATGTCATTACCTGAATCGGAAATTACTTTAGTCCACTCTAAATGACCTCAGTATGTTGTTTGCTAATATTGACACTTTTGTTGACCTTCCTTTCTAATTTTTAACCAATTTCCCAATCTAAACGAAATTTTGAGTGATCGCATACAAGCTTCTGTGCTCGTCTTTGAAAATCTTGCAAAAAGAGTATGCTGATTGAGTCAAATTGCGAGACTGTAGTCAATGAGCGAAACCAAGCAATGAAATGCCATACCTTCCCCTTCACTCCATCAATACCTTCGATTGCCTCCATTGAATCTATCTTCCGTTTGCAACCCTGGACTCCTGCAATTATCACGATTAGGTACATGGTCAACAGCTTTAACGATCTACTGTCGCCGTTTAAGCTAAGTGTGCTAATTTTGACTGTTCTACAGTGGAGTACCTAGGTACCTTGGTCTACGAATTAACTAGCCAATGTTTACATTGTCACTACCTAAAGAATGGATAATAATTAAGTTTATGACGAATGATTTACAAACACCAACACTGTGTTAGTATTACATGTTTTAATTATTGTTTGATATACACAAAATGTATTTTTGATCTCATTGTGATCACCAGTGTGGCTACACTAAGCATTTTCCATGTAAAGATTACCCAACCGGCAACATCAAAAAATGCACGTGTGTGAAAATATGTTTGTTTTATTATAAGTTGGTAAGCATTCATCATCGCCCTCACTTCAGAAATTGTACAGTGAAATGCTTCAAATTTGGGATGTGTTTATAACTGATGTTAATGTGGAAGCTAAGCAGAGAAGCTCCGGTTGTGGAGTTGTATTGTAATGCAAAAGTAAGGTGAAAAATGTAAGTTGTATTGTATGGGTTCTTTTTTTGACGTTATATTTATCTACCTACTTTTTGCAATATAAAGTTGCTTGCGTTTTTACTCCCATTTGGAAGGAAACTTTTATCATTTAAGAATTCATATTATATCCTTAGAGAATTATTTTTAGCATTGGAATGTGAGATAGATAAGACAACCGCTGTGTATTAAATTAAGGGGGTGTAGGAATATGTAGTCAAGGTCCGGTGTGTCAAATTTGCGCAATTGTTTCATTTATCGATAAAGATTTGGTTTGAGCGATATCTCTTTAGATTCGGAACAATCTTAGAATTCGGAATTGTGAATCGCGAGTGTTAGATAGAGGATCGAGGCGTCGAATGGACCAAAATCCAAAATTTGCATCAATACTATGTGAATCTGATTGGAAAAGGTCAACTGTACGGCAAGCGGAAACTGATACGCAATTAAAACTCGATCCGATCGAGATAATCAACGAGGTATTTCATATAACAAGGGACTTTAACAGTGATATTGTACTATTTTTATTACTTGCGTTTTGTACACGAATTATTTGTGAATTAGAACTACGTATAATGTTAACGTATTTAAAAAACGTTTATTAAATTATTTATTTAGAATTAATCGTTACATTGTTGATTACGATAGATTAAACTATCTGGCCAGCAGGAATGTTTTTAGTTAAGGAATTATGTTTTTGTATTTTTGAGTGCCTGTAGGAATTTGTATGAAATTCGTGTTGCATGGTCTTTCCAAATATGCTAGGGTATTCAAATTTCTAAATATTCTACTAATCAGCATTGGCATTCTTCATTTTGACTATTAATTACATTATTATCAGTGAATAAATAATCAATTGAATCCTTTCCTATCCTTAACCGAATAAAGTAAAAGTAAAAGCACGAAAGGTAAGTGCGAACGTACTAAACCGAACAAAGAAGAACGAACGAACGAACTTTAAGAAGTTTTCCACGAAATGGGATTTGGTCATCCGAATTTTTACATCAAACCGCCCTCCGGAAAACAGCAGTAGTATACTACAATATTTTGCGGCAATGGAATCAGTCCATAGCGTTTAAATAAAAGTATTTCTGAAAAAACTTTAACTTTAACTTAGCGTTTATGTTTCATACTTTGGATATACTCGCATTTTTCATTAAAATGTACTGTTCAAACTTTGGCTCATACTGGACACAGAAGTGTTCCGTGTCCGCTGCAACTGTTAACTCTGGGTTAATTAAAAACAAGGTTATCTTTTGTTAGCACATTTCCCTCCTCGCTTTCGATGCCAATAGCTATCTTGCTTTGAGTTTTGCATTTATCCCACACCATGTTCGATTGAGCTCGTCTATCTTCTTGTATTCATTTAGCAGCTCTTAAACTCGAATAATAAAAATGCAGGAGTTTAACTCGCTTATAAAAACTATACACGACAAGAAACCCACCCCTAAACTATTTTTCAATTCTGTGTAGGTATATAACCGACCATCAAACTTGGATTTTGAAATTGTTGCCAACACCAAGTCCTAAATCCATAGGAAGGAGTACAGAGACATCATTTTCGAGATTACTACATAGCCGTGGTACTTTGCTTCTGAATTTGTATATGTGGATAGGCTAACTTCATTGGTATTGTAGACTGTAGCATTTGTTAAGGCCGCTTGACATGGAGCAATACTACGCGCAAGAACTTGCAGAAAAAAATTGCAAGGTCAAATCCTTGCATGCAATAAGCATTGCATGGTATTTGACATGGTGCAATTCTATTTCAATTGCCACATGTCTGCCAACAGAAGAAACATATGGATTTGTCAACAAAGTTGTTAACCTCAAATGAAAATTAAATTTTTATTGCTTGAAGAAACATGAAAATTACAAGAATAAATAAGATTAGTAAAAACAAGTAATGAGTGCGTCTCTCAGCATCACAGTTGCCGCCGCTGTATTTTACTAGGTTGGTGCCACAAGAACAACTAGATTTATCCCTAGAATTGCACGATTCATGCAAGAAAAATAGCACCGGTCCTATAAAAATTGCATGTAAGTCTCTTGTAGCAATTGATCAGCTGGCTTTGAACTGCGCATGCCTTTCGCAATTTTTCTTGCAACTTGCATGCAATTGCAATTTTTATTGCTCCATGTCAAGCGGGCTTTAGTTTAATACACCTGATGAGACGGTTACTTTTCTAAAATTAATTCACTTGGGAACGGTTAAACTTCCTCTCGACTTATCTGTCACTGTCAGCGACCATGTTAGTATAATTAACGTAGAAACTTAAATAGTTAATGTTGATAAACATGATTGGGTGGTATTAATCTTGTTAGTCGTTTTGGTAGTTTCCATTCTCTCTCAGAGAAGAAACTGCGTCGTAATAAAGTTAGCAGACTATGCACTAATGCATTTAAAAATGTACTCATTTATAAGATGTAGGTATGCAATTTTAATGAAAGCGAATCGATCAAAAGCTCTTATGCACTTCTTTCCAAAGAACTGCCTAGCGTGATATGTAAAGGAGCTTTGCGAATCAATGAAATAATAACGTTAATCTCGTGCAAATGTCCATAAAGAATACATTTAAGGCAGAGGAACTGTAATATTACGGAATAACCTTATGAGAAACTGCTCCCCGTTAAATGAGAACTGCTTGACTAGTTAAAATTAGACGCGATACAGCTCTCAATTTCCCTCCCTAAGTAAACTTAGCTTGCCCTGGTAAACACATAGGTCTCATTTACTTTCCAATTACGCTTAACGTTTACATTGATTAAATTACGTTTGGAAATAAACAGGGGAAGGTAATTTAATCAAATAGTGTATAGTACGTAGTTTCATCATCGTTACCATAACGTGTTCGCTATACGAAAAACGAATCACAAGAGGTGATAAATTCAACAGTGCAATTATATCCAATTAAAATCGCGCGATTTTCCAAAAGTGTAGTTTCGTATAATTCGATGAGCTTTGAGCATCTCTTTAAGTTAAAAACGAATTGAGAAATTTTTCATGCAGCGCCATGTACCGGAATCAGTGGCACCGGCTGGTTACCATTGTATTTTTTACCATTACATATTTCGGGTGTATTAAGCAAGGTTCCCGCGGCTTCATCCGCACTAACCACCGTCCATTCCGTGAGTCTAGCAGATACATGCAAAACATGCAAAAAATTAGCATATTAGTGTATAAAACAGTTAAAATAAAATATGTAACAAACGAAATATTCAACTAAATCGATAATGGGTAGTGAAGGAAATGCGATTACAACTTACCGTATACTTTCGGTGCGCGATCTCGGTGACCAATCTTTACTTCTGCTTCCTGTCCGCATTCGGCGCGAGCCTAACGTCTTGCTTGTTCGCCATATTTGGAAGTGGTGCTTTAATGTGTTCTGCACTTCGGTGTTTAAGAAGCAGTAAAAAAGGGCAACAGTGAAACCCTGCAACAAAGGACGAAATTAATATTAATTAACAATCATTTATTTCTTGATCGCTAGTCAGTCTGCGTTGTTTAATTTCTATGCGGCTTTGTTTCTTAATGGGTTTCGAAAATTTTATTTTATTTCGCTTTTAGTGCTATTTAGTTACACCTGCAAGCGCAACAATATATAATTCTTTGGATCATAAGAATAGCTAAAATTGGTACGTGAATTGCTTAATTACGGCTCATGCATTTCGGGGGATCTCCAATAAGATCTTTTCTTCTTGAGAAAACATGGTGGAGGTACTTACTACACGTGATATAAAAAGAGGCAGTACTAATTAACCCAAAAATTAATTAATGGGATTCGCTATATAGCAATCGATGCGACCAGTTAGATCAATTAAAAAGAAACTAGTAGTTGTTTCGTATGTACAGAATACGAAGGGGTTTATTGAAGTCGCCAGACCTTGATTTACCAACAAATGCAGCTGCTTGATTTTCACCGGAGTTTACTTGTACATAACATAACAACTTTGCCTTGGAATAGTCCTTGGTAATTTCTATACGAGAACTTACTATGCTCATAATCATTATTTGACACTTATCTGGAAGACCAGCCAACATTAATATTCTTCCTTAACTTCTCAACCAACACTGATTAGCTTCGTTGAAGTTACTTTGATTATGTTTAGAAATTCTTTATCGATGAGCAATTCTCAAGATTTGTTGTTATAAGCTTTCGTAGAAGACCAGAATCTCCAAATGCTTTGTGAAGACCATCCAATTTTTCGCTTGATGAATGTGGACGAATCATTGGGACGGGAGGAACTCTAAACTCGACAAAGAGGAACCTTGACCTAAGAAAAGTTGAAGACGTTTAAAGCTAGTGAGGAAATCTATTTCATCTGGAGCATACAGTAAACATCTACACACTTCGCACCATTGTCCTTTCCTGTAAACTTCATACACCACGAATATGAACCTTCACCTAGTGGAATTCTCAAGCAAGACGACCTTTCGATGGCACATCAGAGGAGAAAGTATTGTAAAATTTGGTTATGGTCTATGTATTTCAAACGCAGTAAATTAGGTACCTTAAGGCGCGTATACATCTGAGCATTGGGTCCGAATGAGCAAGGCGAGCGCGAATGAGCATTCAAATGTGGACGACTGAGCAACGTGCGCCGAACACGCTCGACCCGATCCAAATTTTGTCGGTAGATCAAAGCGAGCGCTTGCGGCGAACACGCTCATACGTGCTCAGTGTGGACATCGACAGGGAACGGAAAGGACATTAAATTCATTGAGCGAAGCTCATGTGTCTCGCTCGCGTGTCCCATTCAGATGTGTACTCAGCCCCCTTTCCAAATGCTCATTCGCGCTCGCCTTGCTCATTCGACCCAATGCTCAGATGTATACGCGCCTTTAAGGATAATAATTTTGGACCAATAGGTCGTTGTGTTTTTAATGGTTTACGCAATTTAAATTTTAAAAGAAAGAACCCATAAGATATTACGGTCAAGTGTACATTTTCAATCAGCAAACAAGGTTTCTATTTTATGTGTACGTGTTAACTTTAGGGAGAAGTTTTTTTTGAATTAGTTGGATCATTTACGGTGTATGTCATATTTGTGTTAACGAACCTATTCCCGTTTAAGTGCACACATGTGTTCCCGGTATATTTACTTGTTGAAAGAAACTTTTGAATAGACGGCTCCAAATATTGTTGGGATTTAACAACGCAATTCTACTTTGTTTGAACAAACAGCTGAAGCGTTAGTTAGAACGCATGGAATTTAAATTGCCATCATCCTTATTTATTAATCTCTGATGGCGATTGGATTCATTAATTTGGGGTTTTCGGTAATAGTGTTAAGACAGATTCACCTAAAAACTCCAATAGTGAGGATTTTAATTACGTTTTTTTTCTGTCTCATCGTAAGTACCGCCATTTGCATTTTCCGTAATTGAAGTGTACCTTTCTTTAGGTTCGGCTGATATTTGTGTACGACAATTTTTTCATCGACAATAAAATTGCTGTTTCCATCTACAATTAGCCCTCTTAAATTTAAGAGATATGTACATTTTATGACATCAACGAAGAAGGTTACCTTTGATTTCTTTTAGGGCTCAAGTTTCTACTCAACTTTTTAGTTTTCATTTTGGTCTTAATTGTGAGTACCAGTTTACATACTGGATACGTACGATTTCTGGTTCGACATACGAACTTGAAAAATGAAATACGTATCCGCAAAGGAAATGGCTACCGAAATATGTTAAATAATCGAGAAAGAATGATCTTATATCGAAGCGAAGATTGAAGCAAATTTGTTAAAAGGTTGATAAGTGGATTTTGATCGTAATTAGTAGTAACTGAACTGAACGATAGGTGGCGTTTATATTTGTATTTAATTAAATGTGTTCTTTCACTGTGTCTATTTAATCACACACTAGATGACTGCAATATTCATAAGATTATTTATTTATAAAACATAAATGTGATAGATAAATCCCAAGAGTTAGAAATTCATCAGACTAAAATATGGAATGCAGAAAAAGGAAATGCTACAAAAGCGCCCTATAAAATATGTAATAACTGTAACCGAAGCTTCGTTTCGGTATACCTACCGATTTATAATTCATTACGGCTAAGGGGAGGCAGAACAAATAAAACCCGAATCAATATAGGTGCATACACACATGAGGCATGAAACTTTCGAAAAAGCCCCGGAATAGTTTCTGCGTTGGTTGCCACACTATAATTTTTAGAAAGCTTGTCACTTTGCATACTTATCTGAATTGCGAAAACCATAAAAAAATGTAGTTAAGCAAAAGCAATTTATTTATGATTTACGATTGGATGAATTTTTGATTCCTGGAAGCGCTTTTATCGTAAAACAGCGAAGGACGTAGACAGAATTTTTCCGGAATGTTTATTGTCAGATACCTTTCACTTAAAATAAAAAAAAGGCAACAACAGTTACAGTTATACGGTTTCTATAAAACAAACGGGCGGCTTTTGGCGTTTAAAAGCTTTTGCAGGTGAACAGCAGTTTTTCTCCCTTGATGGCTAGAAATGTAAGCGTTACGTCAAAGTTCCACGCGATATTGCCAGAGATTATCCCGTTCTTCTAAGCAGAAAACAACTGAAACATCACACAACAGTTTCTATGCCAAGGGCAAGTATTGGGGGAAATTTTACGAAATGATAGCGACTATAAAAGAGAATCAATGTTTCCATTACTGTCGGAAGAAGTCGATGAGGCAAAGAGCAACGAATTATGTAAATTATTCAGGTAATCGCTCAATTTCAGACTCTCCCTTTTGCACATTAGTCGGCCAGAAATAGACCACAGCTTATTATTGAAAAAGAGCGCTGATCGTTCCAGTGTGTGGGCAATTAATTCTGATAATTTCAATGTACACACCACCCAGTTGCCTACTGCCCCAATAATTACTGCCGGCGTTCCGTTTCCTTGTCAGAAATCGAAATCGCCTTCACTGTTCTAATGAACCAAAATCAAAAGCAATTTTTTCAGTTGAGTGTACCTAGTTTTGTTTCGTAATAAGAGAAAATAGAAAAATAGGGAACTGAAGTTGAAGAATTTTTTTTTCTTCATTCGAGCAATCCTCTTCCACACTTCAGTTGCAGTAGGACGAATAAATTATTATGGGCGCCATCATCCATCAATGTAGCGTGTAGGTATGAGGTAGGTAAGTGCAAAGTAATTAAAGAAAATGGAAAATCACAGATGAAAATAAGCGTCACCTTTCCATTAGTAGGTCACGTTAATTGACCGACTTTACTAAGTACTTACACGATCTGCATAAAGCATGTTTTTCTAATGCAATCTTCACATGAAAATACGTGAGAGTTGCCTACTTATCGTGCTTTGAAGCACTAAATCGCCCTTTTATTTTCTCATGCGAAACTTTCCTATTTTTAATCCCGGTACTTTCAACAGTAATCGCAACACCCCCCACGTTTGCATTCCCGATCGGATTGATGGAAACAAATACACAGGGGAATTAATTCTTTTAAGCTACCTCCTGTTTTTTTTTTAAATTAGGGCGATTTATTTAAAAGCTTTTTCATATTTGTCTCTAGAGAAGGGAGCTTCTTATTAATTTTAATTACAATTCAAAGCCGTTTATAAATGTATAGATGGCTCTCGTACCTATGTATATGTATAGGCAGTCTGGAGGAAAAGTTTTTGTAATGGCAATACTAAACAAATCTAAGGCTCTTTTGGGATAAATACCGGAAATTCTCATTGAGGACGATTATATAACAGAAGGTTTTGTTTTCGAGATTTACGGCTTAAACTAAGCGACAAATTAATCATATTATTTAAGCTCACGAAAGACGAAATTATTACAGGTTTTCTCGAACTTAACCAAACGTTAAGTTAAATTTTCAACAAAAAGGTGTCCCAGAAAAAGAAAAAACAAAAGATGAATATCAACGGTTACTTATATGTCTTTCTAAATAGTTGTCCCTCTAATTTTTATTTGATCTCTTGGCTTATTAGTGCAAGTGTAACAATTTCTAGTTGATTTATTAAGCTTTTTTTTATTTGTGAGAGATAAAGGTAATTATTTGGAGATAACGTGGCTTAAAAATTGTATTATTAGGTGATCACACAAATTCGTAGAAGTATGGGGTACGTGCCGTACCGAGGTGTGATAAAGTTTCACGAAATTGTGAGACGCTAAAAGAAGACCCATTTTGTTGACGTTCGCTGTTCGTTTGTAGCGGCATTTTTTTTCGTATATACTATTCGAACCCAAGTTTCCAGTACCGCTTGTTAGAAGAGAATTAGCAGTATAATTTCCTTCAGTTTCGTTGCCGTTTTGAGTTGAAGATTAACCATAATCAAGTTCGGGTTTTGTTTATCAGTTAAAAATCGGCCTGGATTTCGTTTGTGCTGTTTTCGGAAGAGGTTTTCTTTGTGCGTGCATAGAGTCATTTTGTTAAAGCGGTTGGACGGCGGTTTCAAGTTTGATGGGCATTAC